AAAACATTCTGTATGCTTTCTCATCAGAAGCTCTCTCACTCTAATGCTGTCAGCCAAACCTCAGAATCCACTGACTGCGAAGTCAGTTCATTATTGGACATAATCATTTGCATAAAATTTCCTCCTCACTTTGACAATAAATTGAGATGCAAAGCCATATGGCAGTCCACCTTAGCCAAATAATTTTATCTATTCTCAGATGAATCTAGCCAGTAAATCTGTTTGCAGTGAAAAATCTTAATGTTTCTGCAGAGTATTCAAAGGGGTGATTTTGTTCACTTGTGAAGTGCAGACCAAAGTGCTTATCAAAAGGTGCAGTCTCGATGGATCCTAATTACATAAGATGCACACCAATTTATGTAGTTACTTCTTGGTGGTTCCATGCATATTGTGCATATGATTTATACGCAAGACTCAAGAAATGGGTTTAAAGATGTTTTAACCCATAACTATTATAATAATTAAATGAAAGGTATTTAAATAAAATCATTTGGATAGCACTTGCATATGAACATATCCAGCCCAGCACAGCTTTTTCCCCCCATTTTTTTATATTATTTTACCTAGTTTCATTTTATTATAGTACTTGATGGCACAAAAGAGACTTGCAAGCTTTGCCAAAAATGACAGGGCAATATACATGAGTTTCTTCTTTTATTCTCATTAGCTAGACATTACTGTGTTTCATAGTGATGTTCTATCTGAAATATAATGAAGTACCTTCTTCAGCAATAGTTTATCAGCTATTTTAGTTGAATAAAGTATTTCAAGAACGTGTTAAGATCAACTTATATGTTACATACACAAAAATATGTTTTTAAGCTCTCTCTTTATATCCACAGGGGAGTCATTAGATACATTTAACGTTTCCTTGAGCTATGTGATTAACAACTGTAGTAAAATATGTTGGAGAAAATTATCTTCAGAGGTTTTCCATTGGTAGTTTAATTAACATACAGTGGACAGAAAACAAACAATCTGTTCAAACAGACGATTCAAAGATCCCTCCTGTTGCTTTTGTTTTCCCAGCAGCTGGGAAGGGAAACGTTATATCACATATATCCTTTCATCTTGCTTCTAAATGATTTGCTTTGGTGGTGATTTAAAATACTTGTATGAGTTTGAAACCTCGTGAAGTGTATAGGAATAATTCACAGAGGAGGTGACGAGGCTCCCTGGTTTGGCCAGCTTTCTTCACTCTTTATTTCTGTAAAATGTCCTTTTTTTTTTTTTACGTGTTTTATCTTCTTTAAAAATGATTCTGAAATGAGATCAAAATCTAAGCCAGTTTTACACATCAGCCTTGATGGGCCACGTGCTCCTGAGGAATGAACACAGGAATGTGGAGACTGGGCCTCGCTTATCCTTGACATTGCCAGACAGAAAGAATTAGATCTAAAGTAGCAACCAAAAGAAAATCCACGGAGACCAGGCCCTAAAACTCACACATTTTCTCATTAGAAAACCTTCAGGTCCTTCTTTAGATTTTGTTTACTCTTTGTAAATACAATTACAGCCAGCCAGCATCCACTTTGGTTAATTTACAAAGCTTAAGGTGGCAGATTTTAGAAGGGGCAAGCCCATCCGCGACGGAGACAAACCAATCGGTGATGCGGCAGTGAAGCAAAAGAGAAAAAAAATACAAATCACCGCTAAAAATGAAACAGCAGCACACCCAAACTCTACAGCTATCCTGAGACTGACCCTTGTGAGCGTTTGTTCTTGTTTCATAGGGGAGGCCTACCTGTCTGTTCAATTTACCTTCCCCAGAAATCCTGCTAATAAATTTGAATGGTCACTGCAAAAACAGGAGTTTGCCACATTAATGAAACATCCCAATCTCCAACGTAAATGGTGTTAAAAGATAAAGTTCGGCATTTAAAAAATTTTAAGCTCACCTGAGCCATAGTCCGTTCCAAGGGGACAGCACCAAGCCAGAGGGGTTAGGAGCACTCCAAGGATAAGAAGGAACTAGGGGAGAGACTTTTGTGGACAAGAGGTAGAAGCAAAGTAAGAAAACAATTCGATTGGCTGTAGCTTAAGCATTTGCTTAACTCAGAAAAGCAGAGGTGACTGTGACTGTTCTTAGGTTTTGATTTCTTAACCTTGAGGTGTTTACAGGCTTAGGTTCGCGTTTGCTTCCTAGGTAGGCTGCTAAGGTATTAGTAACCACCTCAGTCTAATGGCCTCCTTGTTTAATTAACTTAACAGTGGGGAATATGAACTTTATTGTTCCTAAGTTTTGGTGCTCCCTTTTATTTCTTCTCTTGGGTAAGAAAGCAGAGAGAAAATGAGAAAGGGGGATTCAAGGAAGGTGAGAATAGAATTCCTCTGCAGAGTGCTCCTCCAGTGTGTTATTTCATCTACTCCCTGCCCTGGGCCAGGACCTCAGGAGTTAGTGTGACATTACTAGCCTAACAGGCATCATGGAAAATACTATATTTTGTCTTGTGCTATAAACATCTGAAAAGATAGTAGTCAAATGAATATTCATCAATTAATATCCAACAATAATGCTAATTTAAAAGAAACCCAGAGTTGCTTTGAAAGTCTTTTTTGAAGATTTTAATAAAGTCTAAGTCTTCGAAGATTTCAGTGTATTTCCCCTAATTTACAATATAGAGGAAAAAACTTTCTGGTTCAAGCCTTTCCTTTTGTGTGATTTTTTTTTAAAAAAACACATTTTTTTATATCTAGGACAATTTAAGCCGTGAACTGCATTACATTTGCTACATTTCTTATCTAGATTGACAATCAAACAAGGATCCTGTATAGATTTTCAATTGTTCCTCCATGACTATTTACATTCAGATAGCTCCCCTGCCCCACCGCAGTGCAAGGCAAATGCATAACTCTAAAGTTAGCCTAAAAGTAGTGCTAGGAGGTCCTAATTTGGTTATTGTAAAACTTTTATTGCTTGCTTTCATTGTAAGATGCCTCATATATTTTTGGTAATGAAGCAGAATATATAAATAAAGCAAATAAAACTGCTATGTAGCTTTGTCTTGAATCATAGATCTTACACATCCTCAGGAAATGCTGTCTGCTGCAGGTAAGACATTTTCATTCCCATTTAAAATATAGGGTAACTGAAGCACAGGGAGTTTTGTGAATTATGCTAGGCTTCATACCCAGCAAAACTAGAATAAAAATTCTACCCAAGGTCTCCTGAATCCTTGTACAGTATTTCTTTTATTACATAATTCTGCCTGGTCCCATCATTCTTGCTTCAAAGAGACTATCAACAATTCATTCACCCATTCATTCATTCATTCATTCATTCATTCAACATTTACTGAGCATTGTTCAAACGTTTCCTGCCCTGGCCCTGTGGCTCAGTTGTCTGGAGCATTGTCCTGTGCACCAAAGGGTTTTGGATTCAGTTTCCAGTCACGGCACATACCCAGGTTGCTGCGGGTTCGATCCCTGGTCTGAGTGCATACTGGAGACAACCGATGGATGTTTCTCTTTCACATCTGTTTCTGTATCTCTCTCTCTCCCTTCCTCTCTCTCTAAAATCAATAAAAGCATATCCTCAGGTGATGATTAAAAAAAATAAAAGAAACATTTCCTGTATTGGAGGGTGGGCGGGAACCATGATAAACACTTTATGTACATGAGTTTTTTTCAAACTTGCAATAATTCTATGAACTGAACACAGTGCTACGTTTTTGTGGCTTTTCTGGAGTTCTTGGCCATTTCCACCTCTGTGGTTCTTTTAAATCTTATCATTCTATGAACCCATGGAAAGGTCTAGATTGCTGACACTGTGGTAGTGTTTCTAAGCTGTATCCACTAAGGCATCAGGCAGTGGGAGATCTTTTAAGTTCACGATGAACCCAAAGAATAAATAGTTGCTCTGTCAAGAAGAATCATCACCTTTTTCTAGTTGAAAGGGAGATATTTTAGACTATTTGCCTGTGATGAGTGGTGGTAGCCTTACCTTACTTTTTAGAGTTCTGAATAGCTGATTCAATGTATTATAAGCCACATTAAATACATTTTGGTTTCTTGCGATGTTCTTGTATTGAGGGGAAAGTCCCAGCTATGATTAAATCACTACTCTCTTAAGCTATTTTGAACCTAGATCCTGCCAGTTACAAAGGCTGTCATTTCATATTTGTTGGTGATAGTTGTGTAGAAGAAGGCTGTTCTTCTTAGTCAGAAACTGAATTTCTCACGCTTGTGGTACACCTTCCCCTGCTGACCTACAGAAATGAAAGACTAGGAGTAATGATTAAATCTAATTTTCCCTCCTTTAATGGCAGGATGAACTGGGTCAGCAAGGCCAGTACCTGCAGATGGCTTTAAAATACCTTTGTGATTTGATCTCCTTGCCTTCCCAGCCATTTCTCTAAGTGCCTATCACTGGCAAGTTTCTGAAGTAACAACAGCACAAGTGAAGAGCATTGTGATGCGTCCTGAGAGTGTTGCTTATTAAATGCGTTAGGCAGTCAACCAAGTCTGACTTGTGAGCTACAAGGCAGGTTAGCACATTTACAGGAAGATCATTCTGTGTATTATTTAACCCATTCAAACTCATTGTTGTCTCTCTGCTGTTCAGCATAACTCATGTGAAATGAATATTAGCCCACAGATTAATAATGTCTGACTTCTATTTTCAAATGGACTGAGAATCACTTGCTTTTCATTCCTTTGGATTGTAGCTTGTTTTCTCAGAACAACTGGGGAATGTTTTTGAAGTGTGTGTGGAAGGTGGGGAGGGAAAGGAATAAAAATGCATTGCTTTAGGGCTGCACATCTGTTTTAGAGACTCTGCTGGGTCCGTACATTAGCCATTGTCACGACTTAGGATGTGCCCTAAACTTCCGTTCTACTCAGAGATGTGCCAGCTCAAAATACTACAATTAAACAGATTTCACTGGTATGAGCTCGTTTTCTATTTTCATGACTAGCAGAATTTTTTTCCTACTCAAGTTGAGAGCGTGTGTGTGATTTGTAGCAAGTAGTAATTCATTATTTTATTTATTTTGAAACAGATTGGCAAAATCAAGTTGCTCAGGCCTTTCCACAAACAGAAGAGGAGATAGAAGTAGACACACATACATTCAGCCACCGGTGGAAAAGGAACACGGATTCCCTCAAGGCTGTGGACACTAACCGAGCAAGCATGGGCCAGGACTCCCCAGAGCCCCGAGGCTTCACAGACCTGCTGCTGGACGATGGGCAGGACAACACCACCCAGATTGAGGTAAATCATCTGGAAAATTGAATGGATGAATGAATATATTTCTTGTAAGGCACCCAATCCCCCCCACCCCCCCCACCCCATATATATCCTCTCCTTTCGGCTCAGTCTAGAACTTTCAGACTTTTTGTTTGGTAAGGATCAATTTAATTCATTAATAAATAATTTATTAATATTCAGAAATTCAATAATAAGTACTTATAATTATATTAAATAAATAAATAGCTAAACCATTTAATCACCCACAAATTCACTTACTCGTGAAACAGACAAACACGAGGCTTGGTGTGGTGAAGACATGGAAGGGACACAAAGACAAAGACAATACAGGGCCTGCCTGCAGGGAATTTGCTGTGTAAGAGGGTCTGCACGCCATTCAAGTCCTCCTATGCTATGCGTATATACAAAAATACATACAGGCGGTAGGTAGCATGGCAGGCGTGGAGGGGGGAGTGATTGTCTGCTTGGGATTAGGGAGGCGGGCTGTGGTCAAAGAGGTTGATTCCGGGAGTGGGCATTTAGGCAGGGTCTTGGCAGAACGAGAGGAGCCAGGTTGGTAACATGTCAGTGGTAAGAGAGAAAAAGCCTGCAGAGTGAATGACATCTGCAGTGACTGAGTCGTAGAACAGCATGGCACCTGGGTTACTAACTGTCCTGGATTGCTTAGGACTGGGGGTCTCCTGGCGTGTAGGATTCTGACTGCTAAAAATGGGGCAGCTCTGGGCAAACTGGGATGGCTGCTCACTCTCTGACTGTAATTCTTTTTTAAATTTTTTAATTTACTTTTTAAAAATATATCTTTATTGATTTCAGAGAGAGGAAGGGAGAGGGAGAGGGAGAGATAGAAACATCAGTGATGAGAGAGTCATTGATCGGCTGCCTCCTGCACGGCCCCGACTGGGGATCGAGCCCGCAACCCGGGCATGTGCTCTGACTGGGAATTGAACCTCGATCTCCTGGATCCCAGGTCAACGCTCAACTGCTGAGCCACGCCCGGCCAGGCTGTAAGTAATTCTTTGTTATGGGTGGGGCCATGAGGTGGAAGGGGAAGGGGTTGGAGATGGGTTTGGTGAGTCTGGAAGTTTGCTGAGGGCATATTTTAGGTAGATTTTAGAATTATCCAGAGGCCTCAAGGATGGTATTACACTGCTTAAGTTTTCATAGTCTTTAACATTGCAAATCATAAAATATGATCTTGTTAGTACACTAAATATAACAGAAACAAACAGGTAAATCTTACAGAGATAAGTAAAAAGCATCCAAATGAGAACAGAAGCTGTTTTATTCAGTTTGCCAGAGCAAGGGAATCAACCTCCATCACTAGCCTTTGGTGGAGACTCAAAAACAGTCAGGGAGTGGGAAAGGTTTTCAGTTAAAAAAAGGTCTTATTGGTGGTGGTTGGCCTGGAGAAGCTAAAAGTGGGCTATGTGAAAACAGAGCATCTCGTGTGATGGGTTGGAGGAGCATGTGTGGTTCTCTGTGGTTGGTCCTGAGTTGGACGCAGGGACAAAAAAACAGGGAAGCTGACAGTTATTAATCAAGTCCTGCCCATTGTGGGCCAGTTGCTGCCAAAATTATGTTCTGACTCCCTGGACTTCTTGCTCTCCAGGTTGGGGTCAGAGTTCTATTGTCATCCATGGTATGGCCCTTATCCATTTACATATTTTCCTTCAATCTGAAGTTTTAATTTCTACTTTCTCCCAGGTGACAAGCTTAATACTTTTTAAGAACCAGGCCCCATTCTTTTTATTGCTGTGAAGGATTCACTATTTAGGAAAAAACTCAACTTCATGAAACATACTACACAGTTCTGCAAATAGTATCAAAGCACCATTTGTTGCCTCATTAGTGAGAAGACTCTTCAGAAGATCTGAAGCTCAGGCCAGTGGGATTCTGTGTATGTGAGAAGCCCAGCAATTGTCAAAACCCCTCTCCATCTCCTTAATGTGTATGTGACTGTGGTGGCCCACCGNTGTGAGAAGCCCAGCAATTGTCAAAACCCCTCTCCATCTCCTTAATGTGTATGTGACTGTGGTGGCCCCGGGCTGCCTCAGCCAGGCCCCTTAACAGGCAACAGAGGATGTGCCAGGAGCAGAAGGCACACAGTATCTCTAAGAGACTATTCTGACTCCTGCAGTGTGCCCGCTATTTTGGCAACTATGTTGTTATAGCAACTCAGAGTAGGCAACATTATTCTTCCCTGAGAAGCCCTTCAGCTAGGGTGCAATATAAAGAGAGCTGAACTGAAGCAGAGGTGTTTACTCTCTGCACAGAGCTGTACCCACTGAGATTGAAAGGGGGGCACAGATTCCTAGAACTCTGTGATCTCCATGCCGGATGCTGAATTTCCCTAATCACTGTAAAACAGAAAGTCCCTTTGCTCATGAATGTATTAACACTCCTCAAAACACAATCCCAGTCGTTATTATAGCTGTGATTTTCTTATTCAGCCATTTTTTTCTTTTTCTTCCTTAACAGAGGGAGACCACATAAAATCAGTGATTTTGAATCGTTAAAAAGAAAATGGTGCAAGAAGCTCTTTGCTGGGTACTCATGTGGTGCTCAGATCTGCCAGGTGTTGTATGGATATGGTTTTCCTTGGTCTTTGTATCAGCCTAGAGAGATTTGCACCCCCAGGTTCACTGAGTAATCTCAGTGACTTTTACATGAGGGCAATTTCGGATTTAGGTTTAGTTGTTGCTGTTTTTAATGTTTTTATTGATTTTAGAGAGAGGAAGGGAGAGGGAGAAAGAGAGAGAAACATTGATGTAAGAGAGAAACATTGGTCAGCTGCCCCCTGCATTCCCCCTACTAGGGATCGATGAGCCCACAACCCAAGCAATCGGGAATCGAACTGCGATCTCCTGGATCCTAGGTGGATGCTCAACCGCTGAGCCATGCTCGGCCAGGCCAAGGTTTAGTATTTTTAATGAGTAAATGAGTAAAGAAGCTGGTATTCAAGCTCAGGCCTGCCCAGCCCCTAGGGTTTTTAGCTTTTCTTCTTGACTTGGCTTCGTCTGATATAGAAGGAAAAGTAAATGGCACTTTGATTATGTAAGGATTTTGGACAGTGGCAGAACCCAGATATCAATATGAAAATAGCTTTGGGGTTTCAGTCTGACTGGACTGAAGCTAGATGTGCACAGCAAGAGGACTGCCTTTATTTTGAGTTTATTTTGATGGTGTTTGGGGGATTGATGAAGATTATTGGGGATCTAAAGTCCCATAGTCATTTCTTGGCACCATCACTAACTCTGGAAACAAAAAACTACATCTGAAACTTTTCTGCGAAGTTTATTTATCCTGGCCCTTGAAATAGTATATTTGAACACTGGTGCATCTGTTTTTGAGGGAAATACTTTTGTTGGATTGAGGTAAACAGAAATAAAAAAGACAGGAACCAAATGGTTATAGAGTGACTACTCTGTGCTAGGCACTGGGACGACATCTTTCTTGTCTTTTAGGAATAAGCACTTTGCTTTATATTGCTAATCACAAGCAACGAGCATGAAAGACTATCTGTGCTTTTTGCTTTACATGCTTCCACAGTCGATGCCAGGAATCAGAATTATTTTGCCTGAGAGCTCTGGCTGTAGTAGTAGTTCTTAAAATAGTTTGTATCCCAGTGAGACTAAAACCACCCAGAAGGTATTCCTGTGCATGTCCTCACTTCTGCCATGTCTAGACTTTATATCCTACTAAACAAAAACAAAAGACAATAGCATATTTCCTATTTTAGCACAAATTCATTATGAAACAAGGACTGTTATTCTCTTAAATTGGTGACAGTATTTTTTCTGGCTCTGCAAGAGAAAAGATAATGGAGTGATTGTAGAAGCTGGTATTCCAGCTAAAGAATTCTTCCAGTTGAAGTTTGTCATTGTTGCCATTGTTTTCTTTTTTTAATATTTTTCCCATGAAGATATAAAGACGTTTTGAAATTAGTTGTGCTTCCTGTTGAGCAAGCAGGGTCTCAACAGTAAGCAAATGGCACTGTTGGTCTGAATGTTGATTTTTGTGAGTCTTTCCTCTTATATTTTCTCTGGTCATGTAGACATGTAACTACTTAGCCAAGTAAGGAGAACAGTGCCATCTTCTGATTTGTAGGCATTAAGAGTGAGGTGTCGCAAAGCAATCACTCCTGTGCTACTTTTTCCTATTACTTTGGGAATATAAGGGCTTCCAGGACTTTTAGGTAAAGTAGAATTCCATTCACAACTTGGCCTCACTTGAGGAGCCTTCAGTGAGCCCCATGACCCCAGGGACACACGCATGGGTGACCAGTGCACGTATTGTCACCTCGCTGCTGGCTGCCCTTCCATTTTCTGGCACAGAGAACTCATAGCATCAGAGGTGCCATAATAGAACCGAGCGAGACTGAGCGGTCAGTGTTTGGTGAGAATTACTGATTTTTATAAAGCTCAGTTTTATTACTTATTTCTTTGTAATGGTGTTGGTAACCATGGTAATGGAGTTTAATATTTCCTCTCTTGGGACGATGAAAGTGTTTCTGAAAAGGACTATCAAGTATGATTTTCCCCCTTGATTGAAGAGCACCTGGATGACTTGAAGAAGGAAGATTTACCAATAGGGCTTATGGATCATATAAATGTAGCTTTAAGATCCAAACTGACTCAGAAATTGTGAGCTTGGCCAGTCCCCTCAGGTGATGCAGATGCGTCTAGGCCACACTTTGAGTTACAAGGAGTTGGAGCACCAAGTAGATTTAGCTAGTGGTTTTGGGGATATAAATGTTCTGAAAAACCTTAGATTAAGTTGAGTTGCTTACCAGCAACATGCCTGTTGGATTTCTCATTCTGGTACCAAATAGGAAACTTCCGGCATATCCAGCAATTCTTGTATCATCTATGTTTCTCTTATCTGAGGAAAGTGCAATTGAGAGTGATCACCAAATATGTGTGATAAATGTAGCTAAAAACTAGAGAGCAACCATTTTTCTCTTAAATGCATAGGGAAAAGCTCCCTTTGATCTCCTGTTGTGG